GGGCGGGGCGCACGTGCCACGGAGCGCGCCGCGCTCCCATTGGCCGGCCCGCCGAGCGCGGCCTCGGAGCCAGCCTGTGAGGGGCGAGGGCCGCAGGGGCGGGGCCGCACGCAACACGGAGCGTAGCGCATGCGCGGGTTGGCTTGGGCTGGGGTCTTGCCCCACGGAGGTTTCCGACGGTGGGGAGCCCGCGCCCTGGGAAGCTGGCGGGTCACCCACTCTTCGCAGAACGCATGGATCGGCCTAGGACACGCCGGTCTCACAGCCCCCGGGGCCGGGGCGGAGCCTGCGCGCAGCCCCCTCGGCGAGGGCCGTCCGAGTGAGGCCCCTCCGCGCGCTCGGGGAGCGTTCCGGGGGCGGGAGCGGAAGGCGGCGCGGGTCGGAGGTGCGCGGGGCTGGGCTTCCCTGGCCGGACCCAGCGTACTGTGTCCTCCGCGCTCGCCTGCGGCGACCACCCTCCCTGAACTCTCCAAACCACTCTGCGACCCCTCACCACCTGAGAACCTCTGGATCTGCATCTGGCTCCTAGCTTTGCTCCGGAACCCCAAAATCGGACCCGACAGGAAGCCCCATCCTGGGGGCAGGGCTCCCGGCCCCCCGGGCAGCCCGCCCCTCTGGGGGCCTCCCTCGTCCCCCCACGCCTCTCATGTCATTCTTTTGTTGGTCCCACAGCCTTTCTCTGTAGTTTTGAAATTATATAATAATTTTTTTTAAACGCACACTCTTGCGGTTACAACGTATATAACATTTTTATACATATTGGCATCCTTTAGATCTTGTTTCTTTTTTGCAATCTACTGTATCTGTAGAGACCTCTTCGTGTCTTCGGGCGTGTCGCTGGATATTGCCTCTTGCGTAGCTGTCAGAACTTAGCCATTCTCCTAGCGAGGTCTCCAGCCTCTGCTTCCACAAACCTGCTTGCAAAGCGGGAACTGGGATCGTTTTAAGATGCGTTTTTCAGATGAGCGTTAGCATCTCTTCATAAAGGTGAAGCACTTAGGTCTCCTTCAGTTTCCTTCCAGTATCTTTCAATTTTTAACTGAGTTTCCTTTTTCTTGGGAATTTTCAAGATTCCTTTGATTGTCTTTAATATTAAGCTTTTGTTCTTTTTACTGTTACAAATGTCTTTTCTCAGCCTGTCCTTTGTTAAAAAAAAATCCTAATTTTGATATGAGTCAAAGTTTACAAAATTTTGTATCCTGCTTTTTGAAAGGGCGTTTTTCAGTTATTGCAGTTTTTTAATAAATATTTTTAGTGGCTGCACAATATTAAACTTAACATACCTGAATATCTAACTGTGTGTGGTGGTTGGGCACACTGATTGATCTGCAGACCCCTTCATTCTTTGAAAATTTTATCACCAGATTCTCTGTTGTTCTTAAATTATGGTTCCTAGCATCCTTCTTGGAGAAACAGCCTTCCCTTAGAATCTAAGTAATTGCAGTATGTACGTGAATCATAGATCATCCTTCCAGTGCTCTGGCCTGTCAGCTCATTGGCCCCTCTCCTTCGAGGATCTTGGCCTCTACGTGACCCCAGATATGGGGCCCCCTTGTTGACCACTGACCAGTGCCTTTCAAATGTTTTTAATTATGACCACAGTAAAAGATACATTTTTGGGGGTACAAAGTTTCTGTTTGGGAAGATGAAATATTTGGGGGATAGACAGTGGGGACGGTTGCACAACAATGTGAATGTACTTAATGCCACTGAATTATTCACTTAAAAATGGTTAAAAAAATACATTCTACATTATGATCCAGTACACACATAAGGGAAGTTTCATGATTTAATAAGTACTCTTATTTTGTGCAGGGCCCTAACATTTTCTATCCTTTTCTGCTTTATTTTTAAGGACATCCTGCACGTGACTATCTAAATCCATCAGCCATGGCCTGGCCCGCAGTCTGCCACCCACTGCCTGGTCCCCATCCCCACCGCCCTCCATAACCTCAGTTCCAGGCAGCCCACTTCCCTGGCACTAGGAGCCACAATGCACTGTCCCCAGCATCTACGTGGTGGCTGTCCTCCCTCATGTGCTCACCTCCTCCCTTAGCCCCTTCCCCATGCCACATACCTGCCTGGCAGACCCCTGTCCTGGGTAAATACGCCTCTACGCGGCTGGGGAAAGGCTTTACCTTGGGGAGACTGGTCTCTAGGGCAGTGCAGTCCTCCTGGCCACCCTATGCCTGCTCCGCCTCTCTGTCCATTCAGGTTCCCACCTTCCTGGAAGGCGAGCCTATGCCTCCTCCCCCTGGGCTAGCTCTGTGTCCTACTTTACTGGAAACATCGACATTGACAGGAGAGACTTCCACCCTGTTCCCACCACTAAGCCTTCCACCAGCCCACCTCCCTGCCCACCCCAACTCCCAAGAATAGGTCACTCATGTCCTCTCCAAGACCCACAGGTCACTAGTCCACGTGGTCCACCCCCATGCATGCTGGATGGCTCTTCAGTCACGACACCCTCTCTCTCCCGCATCCTCATTTCCCTCTTTATGGGATTGTCCCATCAGAATATGAGATGTGCTGTCTTCTCCACACCCGCCTTTCGCTGTCACCATGTTTCTCTGCCACTTTTCAGAGCATGATTACTCAGGAGCAGCCAAGCCGGGCTCCTCCCATTCTCAGGTTTCCGTCCCAGTCAACGGCACTGGCACGTGCCAGACCTCGTGTCCCAGCTCAGCCACGTCTTAGGGATGTCCAAGCAGCAGTCCATACAGCTTTCTCCACTTTGGTCTGGGGCTCCACTCTCTTCTCCCTTTCCCCAGCTCTCCCCACCTGCTGAGGTTGGAGGCCCTGAGGGCTCAGTCTTGGGTCCTTTCTCTCCCCTACAGTCTCGTGAGAGGTGTTTACCAAACTCATGACTTTGAATACCACCGTAGCCTGATACCTCCCAACGTGCACCTCAGCACAGACCCGCCTAAACGCCAGGCTTACAGGTCCAGCTGCCCACTCCGAATCTCCTCTGGAGGGCTACGAGACACCTCAACCTCCACACGCCCTAAATCAAGCTACGGTCTCGCCGCCTCAGCAAAAGGCGCTGCCTCTTTCCAGCACAGGCCAAGCCCCAGGGCCCCCTCCCCTCTCCCCGTCGCACCCACGGCCAGCCCCTCGGCAGGTCCCGTGGGCTCCCACTCTCACCGCCCGCACCGGGGCCTGCACCTCTCTCATCTCCTGCCCAGATTATCGCCAGAACCGAAGAGGTCTCTGAGCGGCAAACTGCCTCCTTAACTTTGTTCTTCACACACTGATTCTTTTAAAACAAAAGCCAGATCTGTCACTCCTCAGAAGCCTCCAGGAGCTTTCTATTTCACTCAGACTAAAAGCCAGAGCCCTTCCAATGGCCCCACGTGACCTGGCTCCTCCCTCTCCTCCTTTCCACTCTGTCCCTGCAAGGGTTTAGCCAACTACAATGTTTACAGGGAACTGTCCACACAGGACCACCCTCACTCACACCAACTGCAGGTTTGGGGTCCCCATGATGACTCTCGGGTTCGACAGTTTCTTAGGAGGACTCACTGTTATCTTTCAGTTACAGTTTACGACAGAGAAAGGATACAGATTAAAATCAGCCACAGGGACAAGTGCACAGGGGAGAGTCTAGGAAAGTGTCAGTTGGGGACCTTCTGGCCATCCTCTCCCCACAGAGGCACCGGCAGCCCCCTCTCCCAGCATCCACATGTGATGACACGCAGTGCTGCCAACCAGGGAAGCTCACGGAGCCCGGGTTCTTGGGGTTTTTCTTGGGGCTCCATCACACGGGCATGACGGATGGATCAAGTGCTCGTGTGGCTGATCTTGGTCTCCAGCCCCCAGCGGGCGTGACCCCAAGAGCCCACCCTGACTCACGTTTGTGGTCCTTCTTGTGTGGTCAGCCCACTGTGATACTATGTGGGGTGGTATCCCCACTTTAAATCACATTGTTAGATAATCTCAGGACCCAAGGTCCCTGGCGAATGTACCCTCTGTCAGGGCTTAGAGACGACCTTCCACAAACAGAGGGAAAAGGCCAGACTCTTTTGGGGCGAGGCTAAATTCTTTCCTACGCAGTCCCCTTGCTTACCGCTCTCCAGACGCACAGCAGCCTCTGGCTGCTCCTTCTAGGGACTCTGCACTTTGCCGTCCCCTCCCCTGGAAGGCCCCTCTTTTTTCAGGATTCTGCTCAAGTGTGTCTTCATTGGAGAAGCCATCTGCTCCTGCTCTAGGGATCAGCAGCTCTCCTCACCACTCGCTCTCTGTCCTCACTCTGTTTCGTTTTTCCTCCTTAACACTCCCCCCATCTGCATTTTCTTCTTTGTTTTGTTTATTGTCCGTCTTCCCTCGCCAGGGTGTGAGCCCCTGAGGGCAGAGACTTGGTTTCTTCTCAGCTGTATCTCCAGTGTTTAGAACATTTGCTGAATGAGCAACTCCTGCAGGATGACTGAGGATTAAATGACGCCGGGCACAGGGCTGACGCCCAGGAAACGTGAGTGAGTGTTCTCTCCCTGATGCCCAGCGCTGCCCCTCAGGACACCCAGTGCCCTGGAAACATCAGGAGGAGATTTGGCAGCCGTCAGCAAGAGCCTGGTACATAAAGCAGCTGCCAGCAAGCCTGCCTTGTGATTATGGACTCAAGCCCAACATGGGTGAATGGAAC